TAGGTTTAGGGAAATAAAGTAACATAGCTTAGGTTTAGGAAAGAAACATGATGACAACGTACCTTAAAATGACTGAAAGTTCACTTGGTTTTGCAGCGTTCTGACCACCAGTCTCCTGGGGAAAGTTCTGTGTTTTGTGACCCATCCCGACCCCAACCTATCTCCTTACAGGGACTATTACTTCCTTCTTTACTTCTGTAAGCGCATTGGTCATGTGATCACAACCTTCCCATTTTCATGGGTTATAAACAAATTACCGGCTCATGATTATGTGGGATATATATGAATTGCATTGCCTTATTTTTTGTAGGTATATGTACAAACAGTGCATGAGAACAGCCTGCAGGGTGACAGCGACATTCAAATAATAGTTAACAAGCCCAGTTAGCCAAACAAGATAATGTGTGCTAACAATGCTAAAAGCAGATAGGAAATGTACAACATTTTTTGCTCACACTAGATATCAAACAAAAGTCAGAGACTGTATTATATTATTGTATTCACCACTTCTATGCAGAAGGCAGAAGATAACATTATCTCAGAGCCTGACCAAGTAAAGCCTCTCTTCTTCTGGGCCGCTGCTTCCATCTAACTGTGATTCATCCTGGGTCCGAGTCTGCAGCTGCCTGTACCTGGTGCAGACATCTTCACCAAGTGGAGGGGATGAATCACCGTAGAGTAGTGGTTTTACCCCGGACAGCCACATTAAAGCAAGGATTGCTGACTTGTCAGCTACTTCTAGGGACTGAAATGTCCGAAAGACTCTCAGTTGACTGGAGGGTCTCCAGCTGATGATTTGACTCTTTGACTTTCAGGGGGCAGCACTAGACCTTAGCCAGTATTTTTATGGCTTGCAGAGCATATGCCAATCTTGTGAGTTCAGCTTGTGCTTCAAGGTTTATGTGTGGAAATAATTCACTGGGACTAAGCTAAGCAATTGAATGCTGGGCTCAGTCAATATATCACAATGAGCAAAGCAAAATTTGTGGGTTAGCTGACATTGTGACAATACAAAAATGTCTGACGTTAGATCTTTTGAATAAAATTTAACAGGGGATAATAAGAAATGCAGACAAGCATATTATGAATGTTCTTCTTTATCGGCTAGTCCAATTCTGTAATGTTACATTACACAGCGCTGTGCAAAAGTGATAGCAATTTATTCCAGCTATAAAGAAAAATGGCACACCAGCATGGAGTAAAACATTAGTGTGAATTATGTCGAAGTTACTGGCACAAAGCCACAAGTGAGTTCTTCAATAATACAGGGGTTTGTGTGCTGTAAATATGCAACAGCCACAGTAACTGAAGCCATCTGTAATGGAGAGTTGACCTAAATGGTATATTTTTTTTACCCTGATATGTCAAACTGTGTCTGATCCTTATAGCACTGTAAACATCACAGTTAGTATCCAATAGTTGCTGCCAGCAAGTTCCCCTAAGTCCTCCTTAAGTTGAATTTATACGTCTGTGTGTCACTTCGAGGAATAGTTCACCCAACAACTATATAAATCATATAGTACTCACTTTCCTAGGCTCTATATGGTCCCAGAAAAAGTTTTCTATTGAATGTCATTAAGGAGAGCAGAGATAAAAGAAAAAATGAAAGTATATCTCTGCAAACTGACCTTATGGGAGGCCGAATGAAAGACAGCAAAAATGTTATAAAATGTCTGGAAAAACTTTAGAAAAAAATTCCTATGAAGTATTACCCAAGTTTTGTTTTTAATCAACACATTCTCACTCCCAACTCATCATAAATAGACTCTCAGTCAGTGGCTTTACATGTTTAACTACGACGCTCCCCTCTAGTGTCACTTTTGGATGCTCAGAGATGGCATGTCATTTTCTGCTTGTTAGATGCATAGTTTTGTTTTCAAAATAAATTCTGTGTTCACAGGAAATGTCCATCTGGTCTCACTCCCAGGGCATCAAAAGACACTGCCAAGTCAGTGGCCCTCTGCATCAGATACAGGCACACAATGCAACCTTTAGCATCCGCATGGGAGGCTTTCAACCAATTCCAATATAAACCCATTATTAGACATTCAGAGTAACAAACGTAGTATAAAGAGCAAGAAAGAGGCTTTTGCCCAAGCAACCAAATATAACAAGCAGGAATGAGATCATGTTGGTAAATGTACAGTTTCTGCTCATGTAGTGCATACAGTCTAATTTTAAAATAAACTTCCAACATAGGTTTACTTCATTTGTAGGTTTATTGTCTTAGGTGTGGGTGACAAAAGTATGCGGTTAGGTTTAAAAAAAAAAAAAAAAAAAAAAAAAAAAGACCATGGTTTGAGTTAAAATAATTACATCAACGTAATGTGATGTCACATTCTTAAAATCACTCAACAGTGATTTTTGTTTTTACACAGGACACAAATAGGAGTCCCTTGGGCACAGTACTTTTACCCAAGGGACTGCTTTTACCCAATAGCTGTCCCTTGGGTAAAAGTGCTGTGCTTGTTTGACCCATTCACTACCCCTCCATCCTGCCCTATAGCCAGTGTTGTAAAGTAGCGGCACTACAAGTAGCGACCTTACTAACCTAACTACAATTCTCAGTAGCATGGTGGTAACATCACTACTTTCTGAGTCAAATAGCTTTTCAGTAGCGAAGTTGATTAATTGACCAAGTAGCGCAGTAGCATCCACAACAATTACAAGCTCTTTTTCCGAGGAAAAACTCCTAAGTACAGCAGACTTTTTTCTGTTGAGATCTGGATAAAAGTAGGGGTAATAAAACTGAGGATAAGAAATGTAACTGACATTAGTGCCACACCGAGGCATGTAGACAAAGGCAGCACTTCAGTATGACATCACATAAGAATCCCTTCGTTTATTCTGCTTGCCATTTTGCTATTGGCTTTTCTTGGCAAGACCCTCCATACTCTGCCTCTGTTTAGCTACATTGCACTTCTTGATGTGTCTCTTATTTGCCTTGCCCATAGATTGTGTAGATTTGCGAAAGAAACAGACAAACCATGGGCCAAGAAACGACCCAGAGAGACAGAGAACAGTATTAAGAGAGGAGAGAGTGATTTTTTCAGAACATGTTTATGTTCTAATGTCCCTCCAAAGAGCCCGGTCTTTCTCTGGAGATGCTGAAATCCGGTGCTTGATCAGTGACTTGCAGGGTCAGAAACCAACAAAAAAGGCGTCCTTTAATGTTAGCATGATATGCGGTCGGTTGCCGTAATAATTTAACAGCACCCAGCAGCATTAGGGAGAAAGACAAAAGGTAAGGTGGTGAAAGTCTGAGTGGGATGGGCGGGATGCGTGGTGCCTGGGTCCAACAAATACCTTTCACCAGAGAGAGCAGTGTTTGTGTCCCGTACGATTCTAAACCCAACCACTTGCTTTTGTTGCCCAAACCTAACCATGTGTGTTTGATGCTGAAGGGGGAAAAAAGTAAATTTACGGTGTTGTACCGACAGTGGGTTTATTAAGAAAGAGACTGTTTGTAAACATTAAATTTCCTTTGAAACGGAAGTGTATCTTTAAAAAAGACAATGCATGTAACAGGCAGAACTTGACACGGTGTCCCAGAACTTGCACCTGAGGTACCTTGCATATTGTATGTGGACACGGAAAGTCCATGACCAAAACGTCAATATGTGACGAGGTCAGAGTGAGAATGTGTTGCCTCAAAAAGAAAAGATTTAATTCAGATCTGTTATTTTTATTGTTTATATTTCTGTCTTTTATTTATAATGGTTTTATTGACTGAAAAATATATTTTGGAATTCTGTTTTTGAATTACTGTAATAGCCAGGTAGCCTAGTGAAAGAGACAGAGAAATGCATTAAGTAGGAAGAGGGGAGAGAGAAAGGGAGAGAGCGATAGGTTGACTGATGATGTCATGTTATTGTTATTGGTCATACGTTATAGGTCACAAAGTCTTCAAAAAAAAAGAGAAAAAAGAAAAGCTGGAAATTTTAAATCTGTTGTTTAATGATAAACGTCCAACTGGACATTTTTTGCATGCTTATTTGTTTGACATTTTTTCTTCGCACTTAGGAAACGCTAATTTGACATAAAGTAGCTTTGCAAGTAGCAAGCTACTTTTGCCATTTTCTCCTAGCTTAGCTTGCTACATTTCTTTGGGGATAGATTCAATGTAGTGAAAGTTTTACTTTGATGTAGAGTAGCTCATTACGTAGCTCACTACATCTTCCAACACTGCCTATAGCCTATGGACTCTTTACACTATTGCTGTTGCACAAACACAACAATTTTGCTAATCTATTGCTAAACAAAAACTGTAAAACTTGTAGAAAACACAGGCAGCCCCTGTGGATACAGTTCTTGATGTCTCTATATTCATGGTAGCCATTTTGTCCATGTAGTATTTTTGTAAAGGTGCACATTAGCCAAATCTACGGCATCTATGTATGTACCCTGTACACTGCTATGCCACAATCTCCAAGCACAATAGGTTGTGCTTTAGTTTTCAGTCCCCTTCTACCAGTTGTACTCTGTGTTCAAACTGTATGCACGTTGGCTAAGCTGGGGTGAAAAGCTAACCTTCTGGCTCGTGATCTACAGTGTGATCCAATAGCAAGTATTGATCAGTCTGAATGGCTTTCCGGTAAAAGTCGAAGTGACACCTTCAACTGTCTGTACAGTCAATACAGTGCAACTACAAAGCAAGAGGTGAACACGGTGAGAGGGGCAGAGAGGGAAAGAGCAGCAACCAACCAGGAATATCAGGACTTAAGGCTGCATGAGTTACAGCTCAGCACAGCTCAGCGAATGAGTTACTGTTATGCAAGAGCTCAGTCAGTCAGCGGGATATCAGGAGGGGAGAGAGAGAGAGAGAGAGAGCAGCGGAGCGAGTGAGCAGCGAGAACACGAGCTGAGGGACAGAGAGGCGAGGGCTGGAGAGGAAACAGCAGCATGTGAGAGCAGATTACAGCTGGATCTACCATACACATACATGCATTAACATACACACTCCCTCACTGTCTGTCTTTCTCTGTCATACCTTCTTGCAGCACGGCAGCATCATGAGTTTGAGTGCAGAGGGGGTTTTCTTCTCTTCGCCAAGGGACTGAGGAGAGAAGAAGAAGAGAAAAGGACAGATAAAAAGAAAAGAGAAGAAGTAAGAGGAGAGGAAAGGAGGGGAGGGGAGAGGAGACACAGAGGAGAAGACAGGAAAAAGAGACAGAAGGAAAGCAAACTTTCTTCTAAAGGATCTTTCACCTCATTCAGAGGCTCCAGTCAAAGCACCCAACCATGAGGCTGTGAGTCCCTGCTCCTTCTTTCCTTGCAGAGCTCCTCTTCTTCATTACCTGACCCCATGTCACCCAAAGTGGGACCCAGCTCTCAAACCACAGGCACCCATCTCTGGATGCTTCTATGCGCCCTTCTCAGTGCTGTGGTCCTGGCTAGGGGCTCCTCGCTGAGCCCCGAGGACTTACAGAGCACCGCTGCTACATCGCTGCCAGAGGACTGGAACAGCACGACCATCCAGCTGCAGCCAGACCTGCAGACCGAAGCCCAGGTGCCGACAGAAGCACAGACGGAAGCACAGACAGAAGCTTTGCCAACTCAGAGCACCACCAGCAATTATACAGGTTAGTCTCTCTGACGATCACCCATCGATTTCCTCCTTGTTTTACTGCTACAACTTTCAGCATGAGTTAATGATTTCTAGCTTTGTGTCACGCCAAAGTTGAATCCACACTGAAAGAAATATTTTGCGCAATGAGATCCAAACATTACAGAGTTTGAGCCACACTTTTCCTTTGAAAAATCATCTGGAAAAAGTTCTTGGTAGACGGTGTTTACAGAAACCTCTAACCTATGAAGCCTCAATCTGCCTTTCAATGAAAGTATTCTTTGACTACAGTTGAAATGATTAGCTGATGAATCATCATCGACATGGTAATCGATTTAGACATTTTCAGTTTCATTTTCAGCTTTCTTCCTCTGAATAGTAGTTTTTTCTTAATCTTCCATGAGAATAAACTAAATATTTTTGTGTTTTGGGGTGTATTTGGATTACAAAATGTGATACAAATATGACAGTTTTGGCTCTGGGAAATAATGGCTATTTTCAGTTTTCTGACATTATATAGACCGAGTGGTAAATCAAGATTTGGCAAATTATGCGACGACAGACTGACTTCAAGAGTTCTTGTTATGGCCACGGTCTACTTTTGATTGCCAATACCAAAGATGCTGACTCCAGAGTGTATAGATTTAGAAATTTAGTGGTTGCTACACGATCACAAGTCTTGGCATTAGGCCTCCGATTGGCATTAAAACTCTCAGAAATGGGGATTTAAGGAAGTTGCAGGAGTAAGTACGCAAGTAAGTACCTAAAAGTTCTTCCAACTGTACTGGTTGTGTCAATATCTGTTTCCCCATTGATTTGTGTTTCTCTTTATATTAACTCGAACACTACTTTACCCTAAACCCAAAGTATCTTTTGTGATACTAATGTGAAACTAAGGACCCTTTCGCACCTTCCTCATTTGGTCCAGACTTTTGGACTCTTCAGTTTGAACCAAACCCAAATTAAGAGTGTAAAATCCTCCCTGCACCATGGCCCGGACCAGTTTGTTGTTGGTGTGGATCTTTTTTTTTTAGATGGTTCAGACTTTCGGACCAATTTGAGAAAGTTTTGGCGTGCTATCGCCAAGGGATAAGAGTAGTGTAGCGCCTTGGTACATAGAGTGTGTGCGTGTGTGTGTGGTTTAGAAACAGAGAGAGTGACGATGGCTGCGCATGGAGTAGATAGGTGTTGATGATCTGAACGGAGAAGGAATTAGCAGTGAAGTTGTCAAGTGGTAATAAATGTACAGTGTAGGTTTCAGCTTGTCCATGACCAATGCAAAATACCAAAATGAGACCAAAATGGTCACACATGGAAAGAGAAGGAGACAATTTTATCAAGAGCCAGTTTGAAAAATGTCACAAAACCTCAAAACACGTTATCTTCTGAGACGATGAGAGACAGGTGATACAAGAGGACGAGAAAGCCTGTCTACAAACTAACCAATGTCAACTCACGTAGGTGATGATGACAGAATATAGGTGTGTCACTTATAGTTCTTTAGTGCAAACCTTAGTTCAGACCTTGGTTTGGACTTTCAGGTGTGAAAAGGCCCTAAACCTCACCCTAACTCCCGCTACAGACAGTGTGCTACAGGGACACACAAAAATACGCTTCAAAGACATCCCTCTTTGACCAATATAAAATTTTACTTAAAAACATGTTTTTGAAAGTTGCTGAAGTGCCTTGATTTTTTTCCAACCCAGAGGAGACTTACTCACTCCAAAAACCTCCATCTGTTTTTTCTTTTTTTAGACACTATGAAAAAATATTCTCAAAACTAGAAGAAAAACTTAGACAAAGTTTGATGTGTTCAAGTAGACTCTCTAGTGCTCTAGTGTGTGTGTTTGCCTGTGAGTACCTTGAAATGTTTGCGCACGCATGTGCACATGTACTTATTCAGTTGTGTTTTGATTATAGTAGATCCACGTGTGTGTACTTGTAAGCAAGTTTGTGTGTGTGTGTGTGTGTGTGTGTGTGTGCGCATGTGTTGTGTGAGTGAGGTGGCAGGTGATGCCGTTAAAGACAGTTCGTTATGTCCAGGCTGGAGCTGCTGAGCCTGAAGAGAAAGCTGCAGCACCGCTCGCATGACTTCACCTCCACTGGAGCATGAGCTGCCTTTCTCTTCTCCTCCACTTGCTCTGTCCATTTCCTCTCTCTTTCCTTCCCTCCTCTCTTTCTATTTGTCTCTCTCTCTCTCTTCCCTGTTTATTTTCTCCCACCTCTGCCTCATCTGTCTCCCTTTTTCTACTAATTGCTCCATCTCCCTCTGTCACTTTGCCTTTCTCCCACTTCTTGTTTTTCTCTTATTTTTTTCTTTTCTCTGAGTGTCGGCCACTTCTTCTTTTATTTCCTTCCACTGTGTCTCTTTCTCTCTCTCTCTTTCCTTTTCTGATGTTTATTCTTATGTCCCTTGCCCACCCCTTCTCACTCACAGAGCCCATATCCTCACGTGTATGCATAAATAGCCTACAGCAGATGAGAAAATGCAAACGTCACGTGCCTAATACACACGTAACACACACACACATGCACGCACACATATACACACATTGGAAATGGACGCACTCGGCCCAAACGACACCAATCTTCTTAAAGGTTTAGAGAATAAACAACACAGTTGCTCGTTTCATAACGGCAGCTCTGTGTCTGACAGAGCAGGAATAAGCACTTTATACTTTAATAACACACACACACGCACACACACACACGCAGGTGACCAGCTGGACTGCTACATCATACCACATGCATGAATTACGCCAGACCAGAGCCTTTAGTTTCCAAAAATCTAAATCCTGGAGGTGTGATTAATATCAGCGTTCCCAAAACCAGAGTGTGTGTGTGTGTGTGTGTGTGTGTGTATGACAGTATAAACTGCTTATTCCGGCTAGCATTAACAGATAAAAGCAGTGCTTCTCATGTTGTTTACTTTTTCCCACCATATTTTTAAGCCTATTTGACTCTTTCCTTCAGGTCTGAATTATGGCGGAAATACTGCGTTTGTGTTTGGACATTTTAGCCATTTTAGTTTCAGCCTTTTGAGAATAAAACCAGCCTCAGTTGTCATTTACAGGACAAAAATAAATCCAGTTAAATATAGAAGGCTTTTGTACGTGGAAAGCCTTTGGATACAGATAAAGCAGCCAAATGAAGACAGATGTAGATGTGACTTTCCAGGAAGAGTTGACGTTATCACAGTGGCTCCCAAACTTTTTGTTTCCAGATGTAACACCACAGACCTATCTGATGAACTCAAGTATACCTTCATCAACACCACCCATATCCCAAATGTGCTAATTTGAACTGATTTTAATAAGATGTGAAGGAAAAGAGGGAAACTTTGCCAATTCTCAACCAGCCTTGTAGAACAACAATGTGTGTAAAAGAACTGTGGTAAACTCCCCTCCATCTTACCAGTGCCCAGATCTCCTTGTTCATTTCCTGGCTCAAAATTGTTCTCCAATTTTTGCTGGCTCTGGGGATCAAAGTACAGAATGTACTTCTGCATTTTCAAATGCCACCACGGACACAAAGTTTATAGAAGTGGATAGAGTCAGAGAGACCTGCCCCTCTCTCACTCTCAAACTCAGATGACACTACGATCAAGCTGAAGATTCAGTAACTGTTTTTCCTATTTTTCGCCTGAAATGTCTTCCAAAACATATTTTAGTGCACTGTTTGGCTGTAATTTGAACAGCATTTGAAGACAATGTTTACTGCTCCAATGTGGTGCAGTGCATTTGGTTGTAGGTTTTCTACCTCTTGACCAAAAGCGAATGCCACAGCCCATTTTCTCCCTTTTGTCTGTAAGGTTAGCATCATTTTGACACCATTAACTATAATAAAGTGGATCTTGTTACAATCTTTTGTACATACAGAGCTGTCTGTGTTTAGGTTGGTTTGGTTAAGTGTGCATGCATACGTCTGCGCAGAAGTTAGACATTTAAACCACTTTACCATTACTTTTAGCTATTTCAACCATTTATCCACTACCCTTTAGCTTACTATTTCAACTCTTTGTCTTTGTGGATATGTTTACATTTATGTTTATGTTTTATAGTCTTTATGTGTCATTTTGTTAGTATTTTGTTGTGACAATGCTGTGGTAAGATGTGGTTAGGTTTAGGCACAAAAACCACATGGTTAAGGCTGGGAAAAGATGATGTTTTGGCTTAAAATACCTGCTTTGGTCCCTACAAATACTATTAGATATGTCCCAATATGTGAATAAATACCCACTTTTGTTGGTGTCGAACAGTGGTCTACTGCTTGGCAGCAGTCTTGATAGGTGTCAAGCCATCCACTATCTCCTCCTCCTGATGAGAAACTGTACTTGTAATCTAAACTATGTCACTTTAGAAATGTTGATATGATTAGTATGAAACATATAAATGTAACACATCTGTGGTTTGCAGAAAAATATGATGCAAACATTTTATTCTGGTGACTGGGCTGAACTAAATATATATATAAAAAAATACATGTATATATTCATTACTTTAGCTCTCTATTTCAACCAATTAATCTAATTAATATAATAATCAATGAGTCTGAGCTAATTGTTAAGTTAATGTACATGCTGAGGTACAGCTGACTCAATATGTGGACAAATATTTATTAATCTAACTGTACTTTATAGTTTTCTAAATGAGTTTAGCCTGACCACAATCTCACCACATACACCCCCTGAGCAGAAGTACCCCTGAGGTTGGGTATCACTGTCATAGTGATACTGTCCACCATGTAGCTTGAGCACATGTAAACGTAGACTGCAGATACTGCACTGAATGTTTAAAACCTTAAGAGGCTTACATCTGTTGTTGTCCTTAAATCAGTCCCTGTCTATGTTTCTGTATTTATTCATTGCAGTTTACAAAGCTTGTTTAAAGCTGTATCACAGGGAGGTCAAAGGTCATCTGGGACTAGTCGAGACTCAGTGTCTGCAGAAAAGACACAAAATGAAATTCTCCTCCGTGCATAGACCTGCTTACTGAGTTTACCGTTTTAAAAATCGAT